GGCCAAGCTGTTGACTTTGCCGCACAAAACACACTGAGCAGTTTGGAAATCGCCTGCGTCTCGGTTTTGGATTTTGGCAAGTGCTGACGTTCATTTTGAGTTTTTTTTTTGGTAGGTTGTTGATGTGTCTTGTCTGCCGGAATATTTATAGAAGCAATTGGGATGGATGGATCGGCATATAAAAGGGTGCCAGGCGGTGTCAGGAGGAGCCTAATGAATCCATCTCAGGGCTCCTGACCTTCCCGACTCACTGCACACGTTTCCCAGCGGGGCGAAGGGTTTCTAGGGATTTGGGAAGGGAAAGGATTGCCAGCCAAATAAGAGAACTACAGGGAGCCTTGGGCCTGAGAAACGTGCCTGAAATAGCCACTTAGTTACACAGTAAAATAAAGGATATGTGCCTTTAAAGATCACCTAAAAATGTTACTTTAATTACCTTTCATTTATATTGTATTTAAATTATAAAAGCTACACTTAAAATATATTTTTAATGCTCACTAAGGTTTTGTCATATAAAAAATCATGACATAATACATCAAAATATATAAATTGATCTCAAGTAATCTTAAGACTCATGAACATAAGTGTTTACTGCATAAACTGAACATGACTAGTGTATGATTAGTAATTGTTTTCAGCCTGATATAAAAGATAGGAAAATATTTTTGTTGAAATTAATGGTTTTTAGTCAGACTTAAAAGATAAGGATATTTTCTGGTTGAAATAATGCAGTTCGGTAATTACAATGAATAATAAAAGCAAGATTTTCATAAATAACACAAATTTTTCTATAATAATGAATTCAAAATAATATCAAAATATTTTTGAGGAAATTAAAGGAGTTTTCAACCAAAATCATAGATTTCCCTTCAAAAATTAATAAATATCTTTTCAAATGGTTTGCTCAACAAACCAACATAATTTTCCACATAAAGTTATTTATGAAATTGCATGATACATAATTTCCTATATTTATCTTCTTATATAAGTTGAATCACCCACTTGTGTAATTTTTTGCGTGTAAAGATATCTATGTGTATTTATATTTATGTAGATATTGAGAGGCGCAGTTTGTTAGAGCAGCTTAAGTTAGTGATAAGAGACGGTTGCAATCAAACAAATGAGTGGTGAAACGGAGGGGAATCCCGAGAACTTGTTGACACAAACTCTAAATATTTGCATCGTCTGGGTTGGTTTTATGTATTTATTTATACTTTTTATCGAAAGGCTGTGATTGTCATCGGCTGCTCCTCGGAGTCGAAGTGAAAAGTGCAAGTGCATCGGTCTCTTCTGCGATTTCGAATGCCGAATGCAATTGCGTCCGAGTGCCGCGTTTGTCGGCATTTGGAGGCTTAACCGGAAACTTTTAATTTAATTAATTTATACACAAAGGCGCAATCAAGAGCACTGGCGACTTGAGGAGGTCGAAGGACAGGGGGGCAGGGGGTTCGCGGGGGTGCAGTGCCATGCGAATTGCGGTTACAAGCGCCGTGTGCATCTGATAGATAGATAGATACTATGTGTATACCATCCAACCATCCCGACCCATCCGAACCCATTGCGATAAAGCGCTTTTGATGTTCACTCGCCCGGTTCGGTTCATTTCGCTTTATTTCGCTTTGTTTCCCTGCCCATCGAGCGCAATTCCAATTCCAAAAATCCGCCACAAGTCATAGGAATCTGCAATCCGAAAGATACAAGATGTATCTCTATCTAGATGCAAAACTGCACATGTCTTTGCTTGAATTTTAGGGACATCGCGGGGGGCAACAGGTGAACTTTGTTTATTGATGCACTCATTGTGCTAATTTGTTTGCTCGGGATGATTTAATGGGCAGCCCGCTGGGTCAAGTTTAGATAGATAGGTAGATGGATAGATGGATTTATGGATGGATTGATGGACTTATACTTTTCTGATGACCGGAACTGGATGTTATCAATAAGCCAATCAACAGGACATGCGATACGTTCAACAGGTGAAGAGTTTTCACGACTTTTTCCGCTTTTCCCGCCTTTACAAAGTAAATATTTAGTTGCCGTTTGCGGTTGGCATAAACATAATCCTCTGTCCGAATATTATTGATTTTCTTTCAATGGGGGGTCCAACATATGCTATTTTCTCGTATGTTTCCATTAGCAGCCAACGCAAATTAAAGTAAATTCCTTAAGCAAATAGTGTAGTTACCGTGGTTTAGAGGTGGATCCAAAAAACCGAAGGAAGAGCCACAGGTGGTTTGTTTTTGTTATAATAAAAGAAACAGCACACTGCAAATTCGGATCAAATCTGCGATCCAATCACCTGGTGCGCCTTGATAATCTCTCTTTTGCTCTTTATTTTTTCTGAATTTTTTATTCAAAAACCCGAGACGCTAATTCAATTGACACTTTTTTGGGCCTCACCAAGTTGCCATAAAAACTGGATGGAAAACTTTTCAAGCTTATTTAGTTTGGCATTTCATTGAGACAAAACACACACAAACACTGGCACGCACACTGGTTTTTGTTTATTAATTTTATTATTTTATTTTATTTATTTTTTATGGCAGTCGAAATTTAAAAACTCAAAATTCGATACCGTTACGGATAATGCGAAATATCCACCGCGCTGGCCAACGCTCGATGGCAAAATGCGCGAATGCTTGGCACGGACTAAAAACTGAAGCGGTTGGGATTCGGATTCATCGTATTCCGAATCGGTTGGGACTTCGGGAGCTCGGAGACTCGGAAACTCGGGAAGCAGAAAAGTAGTGGACGGGCCCCCGGAACCCGAACCTCGTACCACCCACCGACCATTACAAACACAAACGCCTGTTGCTGCCGGACAGCCGAGGAGTGTGGTGAATTCTACGGCAGTTCTACGGCTTGGCCACCGTCCGGATGTAATCGTAAACGAAATATGCTGGCTCTTATTCTTTATAGCTGTCGCCGAGATTCCTCTCCACTCACTTTTTTCTGGCTAAATTTATTCTTTACACAAACATAATTGAGACGTAAACCGTTTTATTCTTGGACCCATGCTACAGCTAATGAATTTGAGTGGCCGCGCGAATTGACGGGTCTCTCAATCAATCGGTATGGGACTCATTGAAATTGATGGCCCAGCTGGTTGATCCTTGGCATCCGAAAAGGTATGGGGCTGGGGGATATCGATGGCGGATGTGCTCGAGAGCACGCAACCCCCGAAATAATCGTTTGGCCAAAATCAATTTGTGCCATTTTGTTGCTTTATGGGATGCCTTCGCGGTATAGAACCCCCCATAAAAAAGCCGAAACCCCCACAACCCCCGAAACCATCGATCCATCGGCTTGTTAGCAGTTCATCAAAATTGTTTGCCGCATATTAATTGCCACCGCTGCTGTTCCACGCGGAGTTTGCGATCGTATTGTTCGAGTATCGAGTATTATTAAGGCCCCCCATACCATCATATCGTATCATACCATCATTCAAATGGGAATATCGTTTTATTGACTTTCTGAGCACGTGACCGGCCTGCAGAGATGTTTGTTTACCAACTGTCGAGCAGTCACTGCTTTTAATGTGCAAACAAAATCGCAATGCGATGCGATGCTCACTGCAGCCCATCGGGCGTATACGTAATAAAATGAGCAGCACCTTTGGCGTCCGGAATCCGGATGGTTGGGATCAGTTCGGGGTTCTTGAAACCATATCTATAGGTCCACGTGCTGGCCATTTGCACGTCCATTTTGGGTTCTACATGGGGCTTTGAATGCAATCGATTCGGAACGTCGTCAACTCGCACAATTTACGGCCGCACTTTAATTGCTTTTGAATTTTAGCAACATTTTTAAATTTGTGCGAGGGAGAAAGGTTGAGCGAGCGATAGGGGCTGATGCAAAGCTTCACCACAGTAGCTTTCCACCATTTTGTTGAGTTTATGGAAGACTTTTGAAGGTTTGTGTCTCGTCTCAACTGAATAGCTAGGCATATTTTAAACGAAATTAAAAATAGCGCACCCTAGCAATAGTCCTGATTGTTTTGAATGTACGCAAAAGAAAAAGAAGTAACAGCTACGATTAATAGCGAAATTGGTAGATTGATAAGAGCGGAAGAATTAAATATTAAGGATGATCTAATAAGCGGATAAAAGCCTTTAAAAGTTTAGTTTAGTTTAGTCACGGCTCTTTTTAAAGTTGATAGACAATCAATTGGATATGTTATTACGAGCTCGGCTTAGTTTTACATCCTAGGTTACGGCCATTGTTTGCTGTTTCTTTTACATGAACGTCCCGTCATAAAATATTTTTATCACAATTCTTTGCCGTTAATCAAAACTTTTTTTCTGAAGTAGACAAAAACAACAAATAAGAAAACAATTTTTTACCTAAATGCCCCCAAACTCATATGTTGGCCACTCGTTTCCTTTTGGTCTCGGTTATGTAGAGTCAACAGAAATGTGATATGGGAAACCCCTTTCCCGCTGAAAAATGCAGCCCCATTCAATGAATTCCGCAGTCAGAAGAAAAACAGAGGGGAAGACAAATTCTTGGGTGCTAAACGTTTAATAATTCTCGCCGCTTGGGTGTACACTAAAAATAAATATATTTATTTTTAAAAATGGAAATAATTATTTTGGATTAAAGTAAACCAATCTTTTCATAGCATTATAATTAAATTAAAATTTGTTTTATCATTTTAAATTGTATACTGAAAATGTATGATAAACAAATAAATAAAAGTTATACCTTTTAAGCTTGTATTTTAAATCAAAAGTTCCAAAGGAATTTTCATATTTCTTATCGTGTATGGGAACCTAGTGATGATCTGCACTTGGCTGCACTCTACAGCACTTGGAGTATTCGATTACTTCCCGGGTCCCCAACTTTGTACACATCCCCACCGCTCAGCATTGTGAATTTTGTTTGCCAGCCATATCCATATCTTATTTACATATGGGCATTTCTGCCTCCCCGCAAGCGCGCATTAAACACATTTTAATTAAGAGACAGCGCTTCGCCTTCCGATCAGTTTCAGTTCCACTTTCGGGTTCTGAGTTCTGGTTGTGAGTCCATGTCTAGTTCTGGGTGCTCAGTATTCAGTAGTCAGTCTTCGGCGCAGCTCGATAGGGAAAGATGTGCGCCGGTGGTGGCGATTGCAGTCCCATTTCCATTCCCAACGATCCATCGAATCCATCGAATCCAAGGTCGCGGGGATAAGACGCCCCGATTGTTTTGGCGCCATGTGCTGTTGGTGTGCACGTGTCTACTGGACGGTTCTCCACAATCTCCTCATTCGCCTGCTGGACAACCTGATGGAACTGAGATCCCCCCTCTGCTGTAGCTGCTGTTTCGGTTATCAAAGGCAGGCCAGTGAAGAGACCAGTGACGTCGCAGAACGGGTTTCCAGCACCGATGACGATCAGCCAAATCAGCAGCCCCATCAAGATTACGTCATTGAGGGTGAGTTCTCTCGATTAGCCGATCTCTCGGTTTCAAAACAAAGCCAAATCAACATAGTGGCAAAATATAAACAAAAACAGTTCACAAGAGGTAAGTTCTTGGAACAAAAACTAAGATAAAGTGTAATTTGTGCCTTATTTCCTGTATTTATAAATGATACGAATATATTTATGAACTGATATAAAATTTTAATTTTATATAGATGCCAACTATGCGGAGATCGAAGAGCGTCATGTGGAGAAGGAGCAGTACTACTTCACGGTGGATCGTCCCGCGGCGGAACGAATGCTCCATGGACGCGAAGACGGATCTTGTTTGGTTCGTCCTTTCAAGGCAGCCGACCAGTGCATCCGCTATATAGTGAGCATCTGGTCAGCGGATCAGTTTTATCACTTATTTATTAGACAAGTGGACAGAAGACAGCGGTATGCCATTGGCCAAAAGAAATCCCAGGAACGCTGCTTTGGTTCCCCCTCGGAAATTGTGGAATTCTACACGGAACATCCGCTGCTCTGCACCAACAAAGTCCGCAGTCAGTGCATCCAGCTGCGGCCCATCAGTTACGCTTAGTTAGGGGGTAAATCTTTATTTTCGATAAGCGGGGGGTGTGTATATACAAATGGGGTTAGCTTAAGACGATCCTCAGGTGGCCACCACCGCCTTGAAGGCGCACTGGTTGTTCTGCATCAAGGCGGGCCAAAGAAAGGCCTTTATCAGATCCGATCGCCGATCCGCTTGGGGATGCCGCTCGTGTTTCTCGGGCCTCAGGAAGCCTAAGTAAGATATAATCCAGTTTTAAGTTTGTACATCAATTAAAAATTATTTGATAAAAAACTCACCCAAATTGAAATCCATGTCCAGATAGTAGGGCGCCTTCTGGTTGATCATCCGCCAGGCCAGGCGAACACAGGCACTCACGTAGTGCGTCAATGGGGGGCAGGACTCCAGGCAGGGGTACTCGTGGAGGGTGGAGAGCACCTGGTTGAACACCGACCGCTCGATCTCGCCCAGCGGAAAGCTATCAACCGTCTCGAAGAGGTGCTGGCGAACGGATCTGTCCAGGGACAAGGTGGTCTCACTGCTGCTGTCCAGGGGGCAGTTCAGGATGCGACGCACTTCCAGGACCTTCCTCTCCCGCATCCCGTGGCACAGGCGGAAGGAGAGCTAGTCGGGAATAAAATATGATATGTTTAAAATAAATCTAATAATCTTTTAAAAATAAATTTTTATTCTACCAAAACCTACTTAATTTAGAATTCCAAAAAAATGTCTTTGCCATTCTTCCCCTTAACTTTTAATTTTCTCTGCTGATCTTGACATTGATAATGCATTTTCCGTGAGAAAGTGTCGTTCATCTCATATCCGATCGAAAGTGATTCGATTACCACAGGTTCGATCCGCAGCGCCTACGTAATTTCTGGCACCCTGGGGCCTCCACTTTCCCTCACATTTTCGCTGCTCCAACGCCTAATCATCCTCAAACGCGATTTCGATCTGGCCAAATTGATATTTTGCAATCGCAATTTGCGGTCTGACAGGATCCTGAAGCATCCAGAGCCCACGGGTTTTTCGTTCGTAATTGATGGCCAGGCCAAGCACTTGAAAATTGAAAGTAATCTTCGACAAAATGAATTGGTCTTACAGTTTGAGAGCCACTGTGCTGTGCTGAATTTCTAAGACCGCTTATAGCCCCTTGAATAGAATAATTAAACTAATTTTTAGCTTTTGTTTAATGAATGACACCTTATTCTTAAATTTATTTGCATAAAAAAGCGTGTGAAAAATGGTCCTTTTTTTTGACAGATATTGACTTAGTAAATGGCAATTGGAACGCGATCGCCCCATTTTTAAAACAATCGTTTTTCTCTTTTCTATTGAAAAGAGCTTCTTTAATTTAAATATCTTTAAGAAAAATATCTCTTACCCATTGAAAAGTAGAAATGTTATTGACACGAAATTGGCACTTTAAAAGATTAACAACGCCCATAATAAATTGACTCCATTCATCACAAAAATCTCTGTGTTGTCTTGACAAGAGAAAACGGAGGGGATAATTATAAAAGTAAAAATCTGTTGTTAGCGATTTATATTCCAACGACAAATGAATGATTGACTGGCTGTGCAATTGGCTACAATTACTTTTTTTTCAGCCTCCTGAAATAAAATATTAACCTATTCCAATCTTCAAAAAAAGTTGGATAAAACTTGTAATTACTTTAACAAAATTTATCGAAACACACCCAATAAGAAATGTATTTTTCTCCCCAAAAAAAAGTGAAAACATTGTCTGACCCGCAATTGGCACTAATTTCTCCCGATTGAGTTAATCTCGAAATTTGTTCGGCCTCTTTAACAAGTCATTATTGAATGTTCGGACATATCTTCCAGCGGCAATCTACAACAGATCCCAAAGCATGTATGTTAGGTACTTGGGACTCACCACGATCATGGAGAAGAGTATCTTCCCCTTGAGGCTGTGCGCGTGTTTTATCTGCGGAAGACTGTCCAACGCCTCCAAGGCGTCTGCTCGGTTCTCGACGTAGAGATTCCGATAGAGCGACACCATTTCGCTGTGGAGAAATGGAAATGGAATTAGAAATATAAACAGAAATGGGTGATGGGCAAATGGGTGTGGGTTGGGCTGTGGGGCAAGTGAGAGTTGGATGCGATCTCGATCTGATTTGAGATTCTAATGTGGGTGTTACACCTTATTGGAACTGGGTCAAGTGCTAGAATCAAGTGCCGCTTGTAACATAGAAATTTGTAAAAAAAAAATTATAAAGGGGTGTCGAATTTATTTATCTTAACAAATTTAACTACAACAAGAGAGAACGCTATAGTCGGGTGCCCCGACTATCAGATACCCGTTACTCAGCTAAAGGGAGTGCGAAAGAGATGGAGAAAAACTTTGATCCGCCGTAACTTTTTAACGAATGGTCCGATTTAAAAAATTTCTTCTACATTTCGATAGGTATTGATAAACACAATAAAACTGCATTTTTACTTTTCCAAAATATTGAAATTTTTAAAATCGTATATTAGCGATTGTGGGCGTTAGAGGGGGCGTGGCACCCTTTTGAAACAAACTTGCGCTGCGTAGGAACTCCTAGAATCTGTATGCAAAATGTCAATCTTCTAGCTTTTATAGTTTCCGAGATCTCAGCGTTCATACAGACAGACAGACAGACAGACAGACAGACAGACAGACAGACAGACAGACAGACGGACAGACAGACGGACAGACGGACATGGCTAGATCGACTCGGCTAGTGATCCCGATCAAGAATATACATAGTTTATAGGGTCGGAAACGCTTCCTTATACCTGTTACATACTTTTGCACGAATCTAATATACCCTTTTACTCTACGAGTAACGGGTATAAATATTGCATATTCAACGGTTTTGATTGATTTTAAATATAGAAATATAAAATTTTGGTAGTTCTGGTAAATCAATAATTTATTTCTAATGAGAGATATTATAGACATACCTTCCATCATCGCTTCCAGAGTCATCGGAGTGATAGCCATCGCTGCAGCTGCTCGTGCTGGCTTCGCCGGGGGGCGTGGCCTTGCCCAGGGAGAGCGAGGAGCCCGGAGGCCCACCCTCGGGACCCATCATGTGGAGCACCACCTCGCAGCCGCGGGAGAAGTTCATCAGCAGGCCGGCGGCAGGACGCTTCTCAACCAAAGCCTGGGAGTCCAGACGACGCACTTGACCTACGCAGGTCAGCACCTCCTTGTCGTTCTCCACCCGCGTGCTGAGATTCTCCACCAGAGTGGCCAACTGCTTCAGAGCCGGCTTATCGAGCATGGTGAGCAGAGTCTTATTGTCAATCAGTCGCTGCTGAATGTCCCCGTAATTGATGGCCAGCAATCGCTGGTGGGAGGAGTGGGCGGGATCCTGGTTGACCGTCACCATGCTCAGTTCCTCCAGCTTGTGAATGGCCATCTTGTAGGTGTCCACATGGCGTTGTAGCTCGGTTTTCAGAGCCACATACAGGGATATCAGCTGTCCCGAGGCATCGGTGGTGAGTCCATGAACTCCGAGTCCCTGGACAGCATTATCGAAGCTACGTCTCCTTTCCCTCACTGTCTGTCGGAGAGCTGGTTCGTACTGGGCCAAAGCCTGCAGCAGGCGAGTGCATCTCTGCCGGAGGCCAGACTCGTGGGGATTCGCGAACAGACGCACCAATTGCCAGGCCACCGTTTCGCTGGGCACTTCTGGCTTGGGAGTGGTGTTCAAGGTGGTTAATCTAAAGGAAATAGGGGATAAGAAAATAATAAGATTTGAAAAAATTTACTAAATTTTTTGTTCTCATAAAAAACTATAAAAAATTATAATAAAAAATTAACACTACAAAAAAAAGGTATCAAGGCATTTCAGAAATATTTAAGACAGATTTTAAACCAGAGAACTTCGAATGAAATAAAATAATTATTTTTCATTAGTATTATTATTATTTATTTGTGTTTTTTTATAGTTATAAACTTTTTTGTAATGCTCTACATCATAAATTGAAAAAACATTCTTGTCCAAAATAATTATTTTCCTATCAAAGTATTTATACTAAATTAAAAAAATTACTTTAAAAGATTATGAGACCGAATGCAAATAACTAAAATTCAGGGCTAATGTTAATTTACATGAGTATATATTTAAAATATTTACTTTAATGGTTTTATAATCACTCACCTGGTAAAGAACGACTCCAGCAGGTAGGCACTGTGAGGCAGGTGCTCCAGCAGCAGATCCAGCGGCAGCTCGGCGATGACTGATCTGAGGACCGAGGGACCCAGTCTTCCGACCACGCCTGCGGCCTCCCTGTACTGTCTGCCCTCCGAAAGCAGCATCAGACGGCGAAGGACCTGCCGCGGACTGGTGAGGAACTCCCGACCATCTCTGGAGGGTCCGCGGATGCGTTCCCTGCTATCCGCCATCGAAGAGGCACCAAAAGTCAGCGGAGGAGACAAGGGAGAATTGCCCTGGAGCTGCAGAATTGCGTCCTGGTGATTCTTCAGCAGCAATTGCTTGCTGAATGCGTTGAAGATGCGGATTACTCTCGGTTTGGATTACTCGCTTTTGGGTTAATGGAATGGCTTTTTTTTGTACAGATGCAGATGCGAAGTCAGTGAGATGCAGATGCAGATGCGAATTCAGATGCGGATGCGAAGTTTAAGATGCAAGTTCAGTGGGACTGCTTACAGCATGTTTTGTGTGGGTGTGGATTCCATGACGATGCGTTTGGGCTCTGGGTTCCGAACTTCGAGGGCGGGCTAGCCGTAAAACTAAAAAACAGGCAGACACAATGCCACAATTAATAGCGAATAGGAAATCTCATTGGCAAGAATTCGCGCCAACAAACAATTGGCACTTTCACCGGCGCAAAACAACACCAGCCAACATAATTTATCATAAGTTTAGCCATATGCGTGCAAAATACAATCTATGTACAATCGCTAAGGTTGTCAGTTAGTTGTGGGAGTTTGCAGCTCAAGTATGACAACTAGGAAAATGTTTAGGGCCCCCGCACAAAGGCAACTTTCCTTGGGGCCATATGCCTCGTAT